GGCCTCGAGGTCCCTAGCACAGACGTGGCAGCGAGAGAAATGCCTCGATGAACCGAGGAAGGTGCCGAATCAGAGCAAGCCTCACTGATGCCACCAACCAAGAAGCCACCGTTGGAGTCCGTAACCACTGAAACGATCTCTTTCGGGTACTTGGCCTCGTCTGGCTTCAAGAAGTCGAAGTGCTTATCATGGAAATAGATGGCTCCAACCTTGCGCTGCTTAGCCTTACCATAAGCACAGACATGCCACCGAGGATCAGCTGGGAAAAGCACCGCCCGAATCGAGAAAAGACGACAAAGGGCCTTCAACTCAACCTCCCCGCTATACTTGCCCGGCATGGCAACCTGCTGAACAAAAGTGTCCCAATCTTGAAGAGCAGAGCCATCAGGTCCAGGCTTGCCATCAGCAGTCCAAGCTGGCTCATAATCCGCAGCATGTCGCTCGATGTGGTCCGCAACACGAGCGCGCAAATCAAGGTGATTAATGGCCGTGCTCTCCTTGTTGGCCCATTGCAAAATGGCGCTGAAGGAGTGGTAAAGGCAATTGCCATCACGCGGAACAGCATCTGAGCCGGGACCTCGCGCAAGGCGATCTTGGCTCGCTTAGTGTTGCCCTCCTCTTTCTTTTCCTCAGCGGTTTCTGTGCCCTTGGCATCCCCAGCACTTGACGTGTCCATGTCCTGAGGCTCCTGGCTGTCGCCCGGGGTGACATCGATCGTCTTGGTGACTGGCGTAAAAGGAGCAGCCTGCGCCTCAACAAAGGGCAAGGAGCCACCGCGTAACCGCTTTTGACGCACCTGCTCAGGTCTAGCCGGAGCCAAACAAGCCCAAAGCATCAGATGTCCATCATCGCCATCCTCGGCAGCAATGGGCAGGAGATCGCAGTCAGCCCCAGCCTAGCAGCACCACGGAAAAGGAAGGATTTCTCACTTCCACGAACAGACTGTCTGATCAGTCTGATCATCTTCACCTCGTAAAAGCTGGCCTCAACGACTCCAGCGGCTTGCACCATATCCCAGTGACGTGGGCAACCGTTCAGCTGCCACACCCTGGAAAAACGAGTGGCCTCAGTGATGGGCTTCTTCCATCCGAGGCGTACGCCATGGCATGCCAATCCAATCGACTGAGCACGATGGGCTCGGGCGAAATAGTCCTTATCAGATTCCTTGGGCAGCCTGTCGATCCACTCAATCGTTACACGCTCCTTCTGCCCGCTGGGCGGAAAGGTGAAAACCCCATCAACCCCAGCACACCCAAGCAGAGTGGGCAGATCGGCCTTGGGGGCGCGAATGATGCCAAAGATCTGCGTGGCGTTGTTGCCAAGTTTCTCTTCGGACCACTTCCACGAATCCGTAAGCTGCACATGACGCCTAGAGGCCCAAGCTGCAATGGCATGGCGAGGATTCTTGATGTTTGCTGACAAAAGCCTGAGGCACTTTCACAAAAAGCACCCCCGTCTCCTTGGCCTCAACCCGGTGGGATGAGCCAATGTGCTTGGGCTGCGGGGCCCCTTTGCCACTGGAGGTGCACTGGACCGCCAAACCCTCGCGAAATTTAATCATTGCCCCGACCTTGCCCGGAATGGCTACAAGCAAAGTCGAGTACTCCCGAGAGGAAGCCCCCAGGATGCGCCTAGCGATGGCAATCTCTGCTGCAGTGCAATGGACCACAGCTTCAAAGCACACCTTTGCATCAGCAGCCTCGAACTTAGCAGCAAAGTCCGAAAACATGATCAGAGGGCTATTCCAATCCTGAGGCCGGAGCATGAACTGTTCGTCTGCAGTCGGCTTACGCTGCACAAGCTGCCATCCATCATTATGGGAACTCTTGGGGCCGGGGGAAGCAGCAGCATTGGAAGCAGGGGGCTGGCCGTGGCCTTTGCCCTTGCCTTTATGCTGACCCTTGCCCTTGCCATCATCACCCTTGCCGGCAGCCTTAGCAGCAACAGGAACACTAGGGTTCGAACCACTAGGGCCCCCAGTGCCACCCCGCTTGAGGGCAGCTTTTTTCAGCTTGGCTCGCTTCCCATTCTTGGCCTTAGCACTGAGCGGCTGCTGAAGTCCAGCTTGCCCTAGCGATTGCTTCACAGCTTGCTCGACAATCTTTTGAATAGCACTCTTGATCGTATCAAGAAGGCCCGGACCAAGGAAACTCAGAGCATCAACCCTTAGATGGACCAGGATGAGAAGCCTCCCCAACCCTGACCCCTGCAAAAGGCTTGCCACTCCAGCGAGCAGAGACGAGGCCTGCAACACAACCCCCCAAGCCCTGAAGACAGCCCGCGAACCAGCACACAGCAGCACTATGACAAGAAACTTTGCTTTTGGCAGCACGGTCCTGAGCGCACACAGGGTCCTTCGAAGCCACAGCGCCAAAAGCGCAAAGTTCACCAAGGAGACCGGGAGCACGAGCAGCCACAGCAGAAGTGGTAGGCATCCAGTCGTCGGAGAAGTCGTCGCACATACCACCTGCGGTCGGCGGCACGGGTACCCGGCACCTAGAGGGAGTCCTAAACCCTAGGGGGGCAACCGAGGGAGTGCGGCAAACATGCCCGGCTTCATTCAAAGGCTTGTCATCTCCAGCAGGAGGGACCACAACCGACACGGGTACCCAGCACCTAGAGGTGGGACTAAACCCTAGGGAGGCAACCAAGGAAAGGCAGTCAGTGTTGACATCGAGGCCACCAGATGGTCGAGTTGGGCCGTAGAGGTGGGACTAAACCCTAGGGGGGCAACCAGGGAAAGGCACTCAGTAATGTCGTCGCAGCCACCAGGCAGTCGAGATGGGCCGTCGTCACCCCGAGGATCGTCATCTGCAGTGGCAGGTGCCACCGGCAGCACAGGTACCCGGCACCTAACGAGAGGCCTAAACGTTAGGGGGGCAACCGGGGAAACGCAAGGCTGAGGATCATCACCGCCGTTCCCGCCCTCCAGGGAGCCGAGCAACATGCCGAAGAGCTTGCCGATCATCGGGAGGGGCAGGAAGCTCTGGCCGCCGTCAGCAGCATCATCAAAGCCACGAAGATCACCATCGAATGCCGTACCAACCATGGCTAGCATCGAGGACGCGTGAGGACCCCCGGGGGGCCCTGGAGGGCCGGTACAGCTTTGGGGGTGAGGTCCTTGGGTCCTCTCCCCATTGTTGATCGACTCTTTTGCTCTTTCTTGAGGTCCTTGGGTCCTCACCCCACTATTGATCGACTCTTTTGCTCTTTCTTGAGGTCCTTGGGATCTCGCCCCTTTATTTTTAGGGTCAAGAACAGAGCAGCAGTCAACCTTGGGCAGAATCACGCCGAGGGGATCAAAGTACTGGCCGCCACCACCAGAGTCATCCACAGCAGCGCGAGCATCACACGATGAGTCCTCGTGAGCAAAATTATCGGCAGCAACACCCTCAAGGAATGCAGCAAAGCAGTGGTAGTAGCTGGTGTCCCTCACCAGCTTCAGCTTGGATATCACGGGGTCTTTCGACCACTCTTGACCAGAGCTTCCACTGATGAGGCCACCAATTGAGTCCCCAAAAGCAGCAGAAAAGCCCTGAAGGTAAGCACAACATGTCAAGTCGAAGGCAGCGCCAATCACCTGCTCAGACCCGGATTTCCTGGGATCTTGCGACCACTCCTGACCACAGCCCTCGCAGGTGACGTCGCCATCTGGATCGGTGTTGCCAACATACAAGCCCTGAAAGCACTTAGCACCACGCAACTTGGAGTCAGCGCCAGCATCAAGTTCAGGCCTGGATTTCTTGGGATCTTGCGACCACACCTGACCACAGCCCTCACCAGTGGAGTCGCCATCTAGGTCGGTATCGTCAACATAAGCACCCTGAAAGCAGTCTGCGCAACGCAACTTGCAGTCAGCGCCAGCATCATGCTTCAGCCTGGATTTCTCGGGGCCTTTCGACCACTCCCGACCGCGGCCTCCACAGATGTAGTCGCCATCGAAGTCGGATTGGTCATCATGGAAGTCCTGAAAGGACGCGTCAGCGGAAATCTCAAGCACATCGCCCTCAAGGAAAGCAAAGTCACAGCAATCATCGTCAAAGGCGTCTGCGCTCCAGCACGAGTTCGGATCCTGAGGCCGACCGGGGCTCAGCGCACGAAGCGCCGGGCCATTCCCTGCATCTCTCAGAAAACCATCATCATACAAAAGGGCGGGCTGGGTAACCACACCGCCCGAGAATCCCTGCAGGCACGGCGTTCCAAAGTCTCGGTCTGCTTGCCACCTCTGGCTCCACCATGGAACCAAGCTATTGCTGGCCTCTGCAAGCTGCTCAGAGCTTCGGGCCTGCGCTGCCCTGGCATTCCACGCAGCCTCAAAGGACCACACGCTATGCCAGGCATGCCACTTTGCCTCGAGAAAAAAGGCGTCCTGTGTTTCGAAGCCCAACTGGGCACACAGTCTAGCTTCACTTTTACTGCACTTCAACAAATGTCCCCCCGCTCCCACAGCGGCCGAGAACGTGTAGTTTGTAGCCTGCAGACTTGAGCCATCATCTTTCTCACCCCAGAGTCCGAAAATGACATGTTTCTGCAGAGTTCTGCTGTGCGGCTGAGGGCCACCCAGCAAGTCGTCCCTTCGTAAGTCAAAGTAAAGCAAAGCCCGTCTCCCGTGAAAACAAGGGGCCATGGCACGCAGGTGTCCTACTTCGCAAGAACGTGGTTCTCTCACCCTTCTTTCTGCCTCCCCTCCTAGCCTCCTCCCTTCCTCCCCCTCGGGAGAGCGGCCAAGTTTAGCGTTCACGGGTGGGCAGAAAATCCAAAACTAGCGAAGTTGGCAAAGAGAGTTGGGTCTAGCGCCGGGTTCTGGCCTGTAGCGGACACTGCCTCTGGCGGTGCCTGCTCGTCGCCCGAGTTCGCTAGCGACCCCTCTGAGGGGTCATCATCTGATGGGTGGGGCCAGCATAGCCGGCATACATGTGTATACTCATGGGCCTTGGGCCTAGCGACAAAATCGCGGCTGTTGTTGCGGAAGGCTCTGCGTCGACCCATCCAACAGCCACTATAGCGGCTTTGTGAAGCCTATAAATAGCACCGGGAAGCTCAACTATCACATAGTTCGCCTTCCTATCGAGGACCCGCAAAACAGGCTCCTCGGGTTCGCTAGCGGAGGCCAGGCTGCTATCCTCGGGATCCACAACCCCTGTCAGCTCTCCTAGCGGCAGCTCCACTGAAGCAGGAACAGAGTCGGGGACCCGGGGCCCCCCTCCCTCCAGCCTCAGTCCCTCAACCGTGAGTTCGGCCTGTTCGCGCGATAGCTTCGGCCGCTCCATTAGCCATGGGACCAGGTCAGCGGCGATTTCCCTCTCGTCGAGTTCGCCTTCTAGCGGCCTCTGCGCAGAGGGCCTGGAGTCTGGCCTGGCTACCCGCCCCCGAAACACCTGGCGTATGTGTCTGAGCCCTCCCGCTTCCAGCGCCCTAGCAGGTCTTTGTCCTTCGGGGGCACAGCGAAAGGGCTGTGGGCAGCACCGATCGCTCGCTGTGCTCCGCCCAGTAGCCCTGCAACTCTAGCGGCAGACCCAGGATTCCCAGGAGCCCAGCGGTGGCAACCATAGCGTCAGCATAGCCGGCCGGCTTCATCTCCAAACCCCATCAGCGTTCAACCGGGGCATCAGGTAGTCCCGTTTGTAGCCAGCGTGCTGCTTTAGCAGGGCAAAACCCTCCTTTAGCCAACCACTCTTCACGAAGAAGGTGTGTTCGAAAAATAGCAACCGGGAGCAAACCTTAACGAGCTTGGCCCAGGCCCACACCCTCCTCCAGCCAATAGCGTGCCCCGGGTCCAGCACCAGCTCCTCAAGGCGGGCAAGCAGGTACACCGGGTAGCGGGGTGCCCGCTTGATCAAGCGAGCACCTTCTGACAAGATCTCGGTGATCTTGTCCTTATAGCGGCCCAAGCCAGGCGGCCATGGGTCGCGCGCTGCTCCTCTCCGGAAACTCAGCCACCCTTTCCAGCCACGGCCGCAGGGCTCATCCCGGCGTGCTAGCAGAAAGTCCACCAGGTCCGCTGGGCGCCCCGGTGGGTAGCGTAGTTTGGCTTCTGCTATAGCCAGCTCCTCCACTGTGTATATAGTAGCTAAGGTAGAGGGTCGAATTGCGCGTCTTCCCAACCAGAGCAGCGCAGCGCGGTCCGGGTCCAGACTTCCCTTTAGCGCGGCTAAAACCGGAGCGTCTATCTGTAGCAGCTCTTCCTGTAGCTTGCGGCACCAAATATCGAGAAGCCTCTCTTCCCTAGCGGCGACGATGCAGCCATCCTCGACTAGCTTCCTGTTGCGCTCCCCCTTCGGAGGTGGTGGTTCGGGCGCATAGCGTGGGCCGCTTCCTGCGCCCTCTTTGGTCGGCAGCATTATGGGTGGCATTAGCGTCATCCAGGTAAGGTCGTCGCTTAGAGCCGCGCCCCTGCACTTGCCTCTTGCTGCGCCTCTTGCAGCCAGCAGTACAGCGCCTCCTCTAGCCAGTCCCCCGTGGGGATAGCGAGCTCATCAGCTAGCTGCCGGGCCATGGCTGGAAGCTCGTCGAGGTCTAGCGAAGTGAGTTCTAGGACACCGAACCCTGATCGAGGAGGTAGCGGTAGGCCTTATCGAGCACTAGGCGTTGCTTCTTAGCAAGGCCTCCGGCTCAGCCGATGGGCTCGGGAGATCCGCAGCGACCACCGGAGCCGAGGGCGTAGCGGAGGCAGACGGGGTGGCAGCCGGTCCCGAAGGACCCTGCACCCCTGCACCGCTAGCGGTCCCCTCCTCCAAGTCAGACGGGACTTCCGTCGCGACCTCCGGCAAAGACTCGGAGTCGTCCCCGGAACTAGCCCCTGACATGGTCGCGAGGCCTCTGCGCAAAGCTGGGCTTATTAGCCCAGTTCCCCTTTCTCTCCCCTACTTCGAAATTACCCCCC